TATATATATATATATATATGTGTGTGTGTGTGTACTACACTTTGGTTTTGCAGTTAAATTTGCATGAAATTGCCCAACAAAATTTTTTTAAAAATTTTAAATAAGTACGATAATCATGCGCAGAAGGCTCTTCAGCCTCACAAGGATTGTTGTTTCTCCGATGCATATATGTTACTTTCTTCAATACTTACTTTATGACACATAAGGTTAACAATATTTTTGTCTCTATGAGAAAAAGTTTAAGGTCAAGACTTGGCAAGATCAAAGAGTTCATGTATGCCAATAACCACTTCACACTTTGGGAACTCAAGTATGGGTAGTAAAACTGACAATGACACCAAGAGCGTCTGATCGATCAGAAGCATAAGAAACAACCGACAATGACACCAAGAGTGTTTGATCGATCAGAAGCATAAGAAACAACCGACAACGATGCCAAGAGCAGATGCACAAAAAAAACCCAAATCCGAGGCGAGCAACTACAAGACTATCCTCTGAAGCGAGCAATTACAAAACTCCTCTGCAAAACAAGCAACTCTAATACTCCTTTGCGGGAGCAAGCAACTATAAAACTCCCCTCTAGAGAGAGCAACTCTAAGACCCCCCTCCGGGGCGAGCAACTCTAAGAATCTCCACTGGGACGAGCAACAACAAGACTCCCCTCCGGAGCAAACAAATCTAAGACTCCCCTCTTAGGCGAGCAATGGAAAGCAACTACAAGACTCCCCTCAAAGGTGAGCAACTCTAAGACTCCACTCTGAGGTGAGAAACTACAAGACTCCCCTCTGGGTCGAGCAACTCTCCCCTTTGAAACGAGCAAATACAAGACTCTCCTCCGGGGCGAACAATTTTAAGACTTCCCTTCGAGGCAAGCAACTACAAGACTCCTCTCCGGAGCGAGCAACCGCAAGGCTCTCCTCTGGGGCAAGCAACTACAAGACTCCCCTCATAGGCGAGAAACTCTATGGCTCCCCTCCAAAGCGAGCAACTCTGGGACTCTCGTAGGTGATGACAGAAGTACCAGAACCAAGCGAGAAAAGCGCCTAACAGAGAGTATCATTAACAAATTAAGTTCAAGGCTTGTTTGATTTATAAATTTTATTGTCATTATTGTGGTTGTCACTATAAATGAGCAAGAAAATTGAAGAACTTAATATGTATACCCAAAAATTGTTTGCACGAATCTCAGGACAATCCAGTAGTCGGTCACCTCACTTCAATCGGCTGGTCAAGATCTCTCCCTCGCCACCTCACTTCGGTCAATGGCCAAGCTCTCTCCCTTGGCTGCCTCATTTCAGGTCGATCAACTCCCTCATTCGATCAGTCGAATAGTCACACTAAAGAAAAAATCATCTTCAAGAGATTCACATGTAAGTCATTCAATTTCTTATATATTGAATGACATCAAGACAAAAACAAAGAAACATGAAACTGAAAGACTGCATCGATCTCGATAAGATCCGACAGTCAAAATAAAAATGGATTAAAATGACATTTGATTCGCTCTTCAAAACATAGTCAAATATGTAATTTTTGTATAATTTTTACTCCTCCTATCTTCTATAAATAGAAGGGTTTCATGATGTAAAAGGAACTTTTTGGGGGAGAGGGGCACCCCTCATTTGTATTATTGAATTTTATGGAATAAAATGAGCCCACGAGCCCGAGAACACCCCAATTCCCCCGCTGAGGGAAGTCCTCTCTCTCTCTCTCTATTCTTTGGACGCAATCTTCCAAACAGATCTGGATTCAACACTCCACTACCAGTTATTTTAAACACAATATTAGTGATCATTCTTTGATCAAGAGTTTGCAACGACCGTTCAAAGTAAATAGATAAATAAAAAAAAGGAATCTTTCAAAGGCATAGCAGTCAACCTCATATTAAGAATGTTTTCTAGTACAGAAATTGGTGCAGTTTGTAATACTTGTGCCAAGGTTTTCGCGATAAAATGTATAATAAGTAAACCATCTGTACAGAACTTCACTCTCCACGTGTTCATCAATATGCATAAACCATGGAAAACCCTCTAGAAAATCAATAAACATATTGAGCATTAACAGGTCCATAATTCAATTATTCACAGTTACTCCAGTTAAAACAGCGATCTAACCACAAAATTCAAAAAGTTCCAACTCTGGATGGAATCTTATTGCTCAAGCTCAGAAAAAAATAAATCCCTTACAGCTCCAATAACCGATGGAAGAAATCGTAGAATGAATTGAAACATCCATCCAAATATAAAACCAACAGAGTTCAAAATACCCAAGTTAATGGTTTCAGTGAAGCAACGTCATAACACCGAAAGCAACAAAATAGGAAAAGAGAAGAGGAATTGTCCGCATTATCAAGCCTTCTGTAAAATCTAGAATCGAGAGTTTCATATGGAATAATCGGTCGGTGACAAAGAAGCACCTTATAATCGAGGCAATGGAAGAGCTTTGGACCGAAATCCTTAGCACGCTCACCAGATCTGAATCCGGATCGCCCCCGCAAAACGGTGGAGTCTAGATCTCCAGGTTTTCATGAAGCCCGCAGTCGCTGCTACTCAGGGCAATAATTGTTTATGTGAGAAGAGAGATAGATATAGCAAGACGGCGGTGGGTGATAGAGGGGCAGGGGTGTATGCGAATGGAATATGAGGGAACAGCACTCGGTCACTCGAAAATATATTACATTTCCTACCAATGAAATCACGCCTAACGCCACGACATCGCTCGACAGTAAAAAAAAAAAAAACTGCTTGTTATTACTTATTCACGTTTTATTCATCTGTTATTACTTGTTATTTATGTATTATTATATTATTATAACACAAAAAATATTCTCAAGACATAATAACACATGAATAACACATAATACATGAATAACAAGGAGAATATTCCCGACAGAGAAAAACGCGGCGCTGTAACACTGGGGAATATTCCCCCCCGTGTTATTCATGTGTTATTGTGTGTTATTCATGTGTTATTGTGTTATTATAACACCAGAAATATTCCCAGAATACAATAACACATAAATAACACTTCTCCGAGTTACTGCGCCGTTTTTTTCCTCTTTCGTGCAGGGTGTCGTGGCGTGATTTCATTGGCTACGCACGTTACTCTACGTGTGTAGTACTGATGTAATATTTTCCCCGGTCACTCGGCTCAGTGTTTTAAATTATCCCTGAAAGTGGTTTTTCTTCTTCAACTATATTACTACAAATTATATTAATAGATTTAATATAAATTTGAAGTTACAATCTCTGCATATCATTGCTATGAGCAAATAACTAATAAATTTAAAGTTTATCATTATATTACACTTTTATAAGAAAAGAAATGTTTGGCATTTTATCTATATCTTCAAAATCCAAATCTTCATTTCTCCAAATTCTTTTTTTCCTTAGCTTTAATATACTGTAAAATTAAAAAAAGTAAACATGTGAGAAAGGTGTTACTATGAAAGTTTTGATGTTATGTATGCATATATGAAATTCATCACGTCTCAAGTGGTTGATTTGGCTCAATAACATAATAATCAGCTATCGATTAATATGCATGTAAATCTTAGTTGTTAACTCTGAGGGAAAATAAATCAAAGGATAAAAAAATTAAGCAAAGGCAGAACATGTCCACAATGATAGAGGCACAAATGGAGAAACATCAATGTATAGTTGAATTTTAATGAAAAGACAGTAAAACATCAATGCTCAACTAAAAATACCCCACAAACATCATTTAGCCAATATTTTTTTTGAAAGGAATTTCTAATGTACTCAATTTTACTAATGGAGTTGCTTAATAGTCAATAATAAATATAAAAAAGTAATTATCATCATCTTACATTCGTATATAAGAGCTACATACATCTAAAATAAGCGCATATAATGAGCATGCTTATTTTCACCTTTCGCATGGCGTTTTAATCAATTTAATAAAATGTAGATATTCAATGATCATTGAATAATCTATCTACAAAATAAAAATGAACATCTACAAGCAATAATAGTACCATGTAGTGATCATGTAATGATGGTCGAACTATGGTAGTAAGGTGATAGCTTTTAGAGAATAAAGATCGTGCTATGTTGGTTAATCCACGTCACTTGTTGGCAGTGAATATTGATATCGATCATCAGATAGGGCTCTAGAGTCTACTACACCCTTAATGTTTCTTTGGTTTCAAGTATCTTTCATGCAAGAAATGCACGTTTTTTTACCTTCATCAAGAAAATCTCAAATATTTTGCAAGATAATTCATCATGATTCTCTTGATCATATATCATCTTTTAGTATTTTAGTACTTTAATGATATTAAAATTGATTGATATTGAACATATTAGATTTCTCTTTTTAAGATATAATTCTCAGACAATGTTATGAATTTCTTAGCTATACTCTGATGTCTTATTTGAATTTATTTGGACTTAGATCGAAATGCTTTGTTTAGCTTATCCAATCAAAATGTTTATTTCAACAAAAAGTTTGAATGAAAGTAGTGATGAATAATTTTAATTTTATTTTTTAAAATTTTAAGTTAAATATCACATTTAAATTCATGTTTGAAGAGATGAATTTTTTTATGGCATTTTATTCATTAAGAAAAAAGTAGAGTGACCAATGACACATTTAAAACTCAATTTAGCCAACCAACAAGATTAAACTCAACTTGAATTGGTGCTAAAGTATTTATGTTGGGCCGCTAATAATATTTTTGACCATCCAAATAAAATGATTTACATTATATTTATATAATGAAAATTCACATACATGTTAGACAGTTTTATGTATTTACATGTCCTACACTCAAATTTTGATATTCATAGTTAAAACATCACATTGTCATGAACTTATATATGAATAGCTGTATTTCATTTTTAAAAAATATAGCATTGATGGTATTTTTGATGTTATTCTAAAATTTATACTAATAAATATGTGGTAGTAAATGCCCTTTTTATATATTTGCACGACAAAAATTTAAATTTGTTTAACCACACACACACACACACACTCTCTCTCTCTCTCTCGCCTCTCCCCCTCACTATGGGGCCGAATTTTTCCCTCAGGTCCCCGTACGGTGCGCTACGTCCGCTATCCAAGCAAAAGACGTCATCTGGTCTTGCAGGACCCATATTTACACGTCATGATAAATGAAAAATTTCGCGTTAAACCCGACCCAACCCGACGTGCTAAATGTTACGTATTATCCCGCCTTTTTGGCGTATTCCCGCCTATTTTTGGCGTATTATTCCCTCAGAAACTTCTATTCTGCATTATTCAGTAGAAAAGAAGTTTTCAAAAAGGGTTTTTTTATCTCAGCTAGGGTTTGGTCGCTGCATTTATGATGGAGTTAGATTTCTCTCTTAATGAAGAGTTTGAGCACATGGATGATGAAATGAATGTCAACGTCTTTGAAACGGAGGTAAGATTTCTTGCTTACTTCAACCGTTTTCCGTTTTTCCTAGAGTAACCCAACAATAACCTAGGAATAACCTGCGTATAAACCCACCAGATCTCTAAAAAAAGTGAGATTTCGTGTGAATCTTCGATTGTCGTTAGGTTATTTCATCATTATTCTGTGTTTAGGGTTATTTATTTTCGGGTTGATTCAAGAAATAATCATTAACTCGAGAATAACCCAACAATAACCTAAGAATAACCTGCGCATAAACCCACCAGATCTATAAAAAAGTAAGATTTTGTGTGAATCTTCGATTGTCGTTAGGTTATTTCATCATTATTCTGTGTTTAGGGTTATTTATTTTCGGGTTGATTGAAGAAAAACTCAATAACGCGAGAATAACCCAACAATAACCTAAGAATAACTTGCGCATAAACCCACCAGATCTATAAAAAAAGTGAGATTTTGTGTGAATCTTCGATTGTCGTTAGGTTATTTCATCATTATTCTGTGTTTAGGGTTATTTATTTTCGAGTTGATTGAAGAAAAACTCAATAACCCGAGAATAATCAAACAATAACCTAAGAATAACTTGCGCATAAACCCACCAGATCTATAAAAAAAGTGAGATTTTGTGTGAATCTTAGATTGTCGTTAAGTTATTTCATCATTAATCTGTGTTCAGGGTTTTTTATTTTTGGGTTGATTGAAAAAAAACTCAATAACCCAACAATAACCTAAAAATAACCTGTGGTTAGAGTTATTTATCTGACTATCTCTATTGTATACTTTAAATTTATAGATATCTAGGGCAGAAACAGATTGCAATGATCCAATTGCTCGTAGCTTTCTTAATATGTTGTCCGTAATGAGGAAGAGGCTTACAAACATTATTGTGCTTATGCACATTACGTTGGTTTCACTGTACGCAAGGACCACACAACTTACTGTGCTAAATCCAAGCAAATTAAGTCGAAGGATTATATTTGTGGAAAATCAGGTCATAAAAGAGAATTTCAGCTAGCCACTACTGTGAAGTATAGAAACGCGGATACCCGGACTGGCTGTCAAGCAATGGTTCGCTATGCTATTGATCTTGATGGCAACTGGACCATAAAGAAAATTGTTGAAAGTCATAACCACCCCTTGGCGAAATCCGGTGACAAGCACCTTCTACATTCCAGTCGGAAGATTAGCGAGTTAAATGCAAATTTACTAAGATCAATGACAGGTTCTGGGATTAGAGCAGCTGATGCATTCAATTTCCTTGCTACAGAGGTT